AATACACATTAACTTAATCTGATCAAACTGACCCGTTTACATACAATTAAAACCCTTATCGAGTGAGTTTAGGCGTATTTAGATGCATTTCACGTTATCCTGTTTCTTTGTTACCATAGAAGCATTGTCGGTGATCGGTAATTTTTTTGCCCTGAAATATATTTCTGGTTTTGCGTTAGTCTAATTTTTTTTTAAATACGAAATAACAAGAACATTTGTTTAAATAAAGAAGAATTAATTGAGTTTCTTTCAAGGAGTAGTAGTAAGGATCACTTTGAAACGTGTGAGTTATATGAGCTGGGTTATCTTCGCGGCACGCCGGCGGACACGTGTACTTCTGGCTGTGAACAAGACTGACCAGTGACAATATGACCTAGCTATCTACATCGACTGGATTTGAAACGGATCCAAAATTATCAACAACAAAAAAGATATAGTCACGTACTGACGTGATGATTAATATTAATGTTAATTATATACTATACAACTGACATAAATGTGTTTGTCTATTAAAGTGTACAATACTAGTCTTTTTTTCAGTTCATAGTTTCATGTGAATTTCTAGTGTAGTTGGTATCACGTCTGCCTTACAATCGAAAGGTCCAGCGTTCAACCCCTACGTGCCGTTTTTTTTTTTTTTTAAATTATTTTAAATGCAAATTTTAAATTTAAGCTGTTAGCATTTTCGGCAACAGATAACCAAAGAAATAATTAATTAAACATCCTGTCACGTGCGTTCAGGTGGATTTAGATGCTTTACACGTTATGTGAAGCGTGGTTGGTGTACTGTGCACATTCATTATATAAAGTTGTTGTGGGGAAAAACACACCTGTTGCCGAATTTCACTTAATGTTAGTAAGAGAAATTCTACATAAATATTGCAAGGAAAAGAGAAAAAGTGTAGGAGGACAAAAAAGTGAAGATCTGCCACTTCGTTTAGTACAAAGGCATTCCCCTTCAATAATAGAGTCCGTAACATCGCAGAAAAAATTCCCAACCAGAAAGTGTGTGGTATGTGCAAAAAGCAAAAAAACGACGGAAACCCAGATACATGTGCAAGGAATGTGATTTGGCATTGTGTGTCGCACCTTGTTTTGAAATATTTCACACACAAAGATATTATTAATAATAATACAAACCATGTATTTGCTTACTAAAGTGTTTTGTGTTTGCCTTGTAAGTTTGTAGTGTTTTCTTTTTGTTAATGAGTTTTCACGGCGTAGTAATAGCGCGTCTGACTTGTCAGCGCAAAGTTCAACCACACGCCTTCAACGATTTTTTATTTTAGGTGTACAATTTTTACCCCGTGCCGTAAGCGCGTCTTCTGCTTTTGAAGGAAAAAACGGTATTCAGCACAGGGGGAAAGATTAGCTCTCGCCTGGCTTAGCACAGTGGTTACGTTGGCTGGCGGAGGGCGCAGCAGCGAAAGGGTTAATCAAGTAGTAGAATGTTGTAGCACTAGAATAGATGCAGTGGATTATTTAGATGTAGTGGACTATCACAATATTTACCAAATAAATAACTAATTAATATGTAAATGTGTAACAATGATTAAATGTTATAATAATCCTGTGTAGTACAGTAGTTGGTTATAAAGTTTCAGACTGATTATACCTTATGAAATAACACCCAAAAAAAAAAAAAAAAAAAAATTGTCTTTAATGGCCGCATAGTCTTGGTATAATTAAATAATCTTCTAATAAAATAAAATAAAAAAAATATTTGATTGAATTAGTCTTGATAATTGATTATGATAAATAATTTAAATTATTTCACGTAATAAACACTAAATACACTCGTTCAGTATGATGCTTATTAAATTCGCTTTCAATGAAGCAAAACTCAGTTACAATATATATGCAGTAACTTGTAACAAAATTAATTCTTATCCACCAATAAATTTAGTCTATATTAGAAATCAACAACACTATAACCACAAGGTGAATAAGGATTGGTGTTCAATCAATGAATGTATCACCAACTAATATTACAATAATCTTTTCCCAATTAACTGTTAAATCACCTAATACAATACAATTTCTATTATCCACACTGTACTTTGAGGTTATGTTTGATGAGGGTCAAATGTGAATGAGTAGATCAAATGTTAAACTCAAATTGAAATAACTTTGACACTTGATAATGATGATGTGTATGATTAATTATGGCACTTCCTGATGATGGTGGTACTGAAATTCCATGTAATATAACACCCACAACTTTTTAAATGAAAAAAAATATAGAATTTCAATACAATTTGTCAATATTTATAAATAAATAAAAAATATAATGTAAAGAATAGTAGAATAATGGAAAATAATATCAAAGACACCAATGTAATAAAATAAATGTCAATGAATGCACCAATGTAAATTATAAATAAATAATATAAATGTCAATGAATGCACCAATGTAAATTATTAATAAATAATATTGATAATTATAATAAATAACTGAATCACCAGAAAAATAAATCAAAAATAAAATTAATAATCAATGTATATTGTTGTGCTGATCTAGTTGACTGTCCTGAAGTTGACCTGAAGCTGGTTCTGCGATGGCTGTTGTTTTCTTGAAGGTTGTTTCGTTGAAGCTTGTCCGTTGAATATGTTACTGCTACTTTTAAAATACTCAAGAAATGATAATTTGATAGGGTTAATTAAAATTAAAACACCATAGTAATGATTTCAGCAACTGGGCACTGAAATTAATTCTAACCGCACAGTTTATCTGTTCACACTATTAATTTTAGCATTCAATGCACACTGATTAGGGAATTGTTCAGTGAAGCATTTATTACAGACTGTATACTGTTTGTGGTACTGTTCACTGTACTACCGGTTTCATAAACTGGATATTTATTACTGAATAGTTCACTGCTAGCTACACACTTCAATAGTACATTGTTAACTGTAGACACTTAAATAGTTCACTGCTAGCTACACACTTCAATAGTACATTGTTAACTGTAGACAAATAGTTCACTGCTAATCAATACTTAGATTTGCACCGACCAATTTGATGCTTTTCCTGTCGACTGAATGTGTTTAGGACGTAGGAAAGCTTTATTGTTATCGCTTTCTTGTGATATGTGCGATTATACGATGAACTTGAAGCATTATTGATCATAAGACATCAATGAGTGCTGATCTTGAGGTATTGTAGGCTTCTCATACTGTAGTTTCCTATTAAATGTTTTGCCACGGCTGAAAATGTAGAGCTGCGACACAAACACCCAGTGTCAGAGCTGTGGTTCTTTTGATTTCCGTACAGTTAACACTCTACCCGGTGTTTCACTGTCTTTCTATGTTTTAAAAAAACAGATCCGACAAAACAGGATCTGGTGTCGACGCTTCTCTGTGTTGTTCAGTGTAGATTTCCCACTACACTTTACCACACTTTAGTCGGCAGCAAAATTTGATCAAACAACAAGGCTTCGGAAGTTTTGCAGAGGGGCAGCCCTAGTCTCACATCATCTCTGTGTAGACTTACGGTTGTATTCCTTTGCTACCATTAATGAATGCTCTTTGACACTGTCACTGTCTGCAATCTTTCCTTCGCATCTTAGTTGATTGTTGATTACTTGGTCGAAACTTAAAACTTGGACTTGTCTATCAGTATTCAAAGCCTGCAATTTGTCCGAATGTTGTTCAATCTGTGAACTATCGAATATGGGTTGTTGTTATGTCGCCATCGATCTTCCCCGCTTACGTTCGTATATTGAACTGGTACTACCTGACGTCAGGTTGATAACTAAACACATTTCGATGTCTCAGATTTTACTGTACGAAACAACTTTCCCTTCCTCAAATGTTTGGACAAGTTCCCCAATCTGCAGTAATCTTCATTGTGTTTAATTGCTGGCTCAAATGAGTCACCGCATCTTTCCATCAACTGACAAGAACGAGAAAACATGGACGCTGGCAGACGTTCAGAAGTTACACGTACTGTTTATTTTCACTCGCTGATGTTGCTGTCAGTAAATGTTTATATACGATTGTATCACTCATCAATGTTCTAAACAGTCAATCATACCTTTGTAACATCGTAGAATATACACACAATTCAAAGAACACAGTAGCTCCCTCCATCCAGAACGACAGTCATTCACAGCTGGCCACCGTTTCCGTCAGCCGCTATTTTATGCCAGGTAGGCATTGGGAAATCACGCTATTCAGACGTCAACATTCTTCCGAACTTTTTCACACGTACACCTTTCCCTTGGCCTAAACGAGACTGCTTCACAAACCTTTTCTTCGCTATTATATAGCCCTCTGATCTGTCCTGTTCTCGAATATTCTGGATAATTTTATTCTCACGAATTCCCCCCGTTGAAAGTCGTGTCTGGCCCGTGATAATTCGCACTTCACACGAATCCTGCCAGTCAACCTTCATGGTTCACGTGAACAATCATGTTTCACATAAAACCTGACTTTCAGATGTCTCTCATGAAACTCAAGACATAAATCTCGTGTTATCTCAGTCAGTCAAACATTCGTCTTACATTTATTACTGACGTCATCTATCGGGCATGAATTAATGGGAAGAAAATGACTCACTACACACATGTTGTTTTGCAGCTTTGCCAGGAGAGGACAGTTTTGCAAGACATGTTCTGGAGTCTGTTCAGCACAAAGACACTAGTAGAGAGCTGTACCTAATTTATATGAGTGTTTACTGAGTCTGCAGTGTCTGGTGCATAAGCAAAATGGTTTGGTCTGTTTTGTTCAGGTGGTTTAGGAAATCTTTTTTCATGGTGTCCATCCCAACCTATTTGTTTTCCAATCTGTTTGACATTACAGGGCAGTGTTATTCTTTGTATGATGACACTACAGAAGTACGACGAGGGGACTGTAAGAGAGCCAGTGACAGAGGAAAATTAACACTACTCTCTAGCAGCATTGATGACCTCACAGCCTATCTGTAGTGTTGAAGTAGCAGTTGTCTTGTATATAGTGTGCCAATACTGATTGTCTGATGCTTTTCTCTTGGTTTGCAGGAGTGATCACCCCTCTGTACTGTGCTCTGCTGCCTGCCAACATTACTAGCCCCAGGGGAACAATCATACGACAGAAGCAGGAGGTTGACTGGGTCCACTTTCATAGACTCTGATGACATTTAGTCAGAGGCTCATATGTGACATTTAGTCAGAGACTTACTTGTGACATTTAGTCAGAGACCTTGGTGTGACATTTAGTCAGAGACTTACTTGTGACATTTAGTCAGAGACTCATACATGATGTTTAGTGGGTTCTACATGTTTGACATCATCTACAACAACACATAGTTTATATTCATGTGTAAAGATATGCTTATATTGGGCATATTTGACATCATAAACGTGGCTAGCAGGCAGAGTAAGAACGCTTGGTTGGTGCCTACACCAAGTGTGAGGTTGTGATCTCATGCTTCAGCTGTCACAGGCATGACCTGTGTTTACATAGGAGAGGCTGTTGTCACCAGCTCAAAACTTCACCGGGAACTTCCTTATCTCTGCTCCTTGCAGCTGATTGTGGCTTAATTGTCGTCCATGTTGATTGAACATCTGATTGTGGCTTTATAGTCATCCATGTTGATTAAAAGCATGATTGTGCCTTAATTGTCATCAATGTTGATTGAATGTCTGATTATGGCTTGTTATCGTCCATGTTAATCAAATGTTTGATTGTGGCTTATCATCCATTTTGATTGAACGTCTGATTTGGGTTTGTAATCCATGCTGATTGAATGTTTTATTGTGGCTGGTCATCCATATTGATTGAATGTCTGATTGCACTTCATTGTCATCCATGTTGATTGAATGTCTGATTGTGGCTTGTTATTGTCCATGTTAATCGAATTTTTGATAGTGGCTTATCATCCATGTTGATTGAACATCTGATTTGGGTGTGTAATCCATGCTGATTTAATGTTTTATTGTGGCTTGTCATCCATATTGATTGAATGTCTGATTGCACTTCATTGTCATCCATATTGATTGAATGTCTGATATTGGCTTCATTGTCATCCTTGTTGATTGAAAGTCTGATTTTGGTTTGTCGTCCATATTGAGTGAATGTCTGATTGTGCCTTAATTGTCGTCCATATTGAGTAGATGATTGATTGTGGCTTCATTGTCATCCATGTTGATTGAACATATGACTCTGGCTTCATTGTCATCCATGTTGATTGAATGACTGATTGTGGCTCCATTGTCATCCATATTGATTGATCTTATTGTGGCTTCATTGTCATCCATGATGATTGAACGTTTGATTGTGGCTTGTCATCTATGCTGATTGAATATTTGATTGTGGCTTGTCATCATATTGACTGAATGTCTGATTATGGCTCCATTGTCATCCATATTTATTGAATGTCTGATTGTATCTTTATTGTCATCCATGCTGATTGAATGTTTGATTGTGGCCTATTATCCATATTGATTGAATGTCTGATTTTAAGCTTCATTGTCATCCATGCTGATTGAGTTTTTGATTTTGGCTTGTCATCAGTATTGATTGAATGTCTGATTATGCCTTCATTTTCATCCATGTTGAGTAAACGTTTGATTGTGGCTCTATTGTTGTCTATGTTGATTGAATGTTTGATTGTGGCTTTATTGTCATCCATGTTGATTGAACATCTGATTGTTGCTTCATTGTTGTCCATGTTGATTGAACATCTCATTGTGGCTTGTCATCCATGCTGATTGAATGTTTCATTTTGGCTTGTCATCTGTGCTTATTAAATATTTGATTGTGGTTTGTCATCCATATTGATTGAATGTCTAATTGTGGCTTCAGTGTCATCCATGTTGATTGAATGTCTGATTTTGGCTTCATTGTCATCCATATTGATTGAGTGTCTGATTGTGGCTTCATTGACATCTATATTGATTGAATGTCATGCCATATTTTATTAATGTTATAATTTTAAGAGATCACCACTGACTCCAGCATTATGGATTTCAAGTCAGACTCTGTGCTACAGTTTCCATTCTATTTCAATAATTATATGTCACAGTCACAGATTTCATGCCAGACTGTGCTACAATATCAGCATTCTATTTCAATAATTATATGTCACAGTCACAGATTTCAAGTCAGACTCTGTGCTACAGTATCCATTCTATTTCAATAATTATATGTCACAGTCACAGATTTCATGCCAGACTCTGTGCTACAGTATCCATTCTATTTCAATAATTATATGTCACAGTCACAGATTTCAAGTCAGACTCTGTGCTACAGTATCCATTCTATTTCAATAATTATATGTCACAGTCACAGATTTCAAGTCAGACTCTGTGCTACAGTATCCATTCTATTTCAATAATTATATGTCACAGTCACAGATTTCATGCCAGACTGTGTGATACAGTATCAGCATTCTGTTTTGATAATTATACGTCAGTGTCATAGATTAATGCCAGACTCTGCTACAATATCAGCATTCTATTTCAGTAATTATATGTTAGTGTCATAGATTCATGCCAGACTCTGTGCTACGATATCAGCATTTTATTTTGATAATTATACGTCAGTGTCACAGATTCATGCCAGACTGTGCTACAATATCAGCATTCTATTTCAATAATTATATGTTAGTGTCATAGATTCATGCCAGACTCTGTGCTACAATATCAGCATATCAGCATTCTATTTCAATAATTATACGTCAGTGTCACAGATTAATGCCAGACTCTGTGCTACAATATCAGCATTCTATTTCAGTAATTATATGTTAGTGTCATAGATTCATACCAGACTCTGTGCTACAATATCAGCATTCTATTTCAGTAATTATATGTTAGTGTCATAGATTCATACCAGACTCTGTGCTACAATATCAGCATTCTATTTCAGTAATTATATGTTAGTGTCACAGATTTCATACCAGACTCTGTGCTACAATATCAGCATTCTATTTTGATAATTATACATCAGTGTCATAGATTAATGCCAGACTCTGCTACAATATCAGCATTCTATTTCAGTAATTATATGTAAGTGTCATAGATTCATGCCAGACTCTGTGCTACAATATCAGCATTCTATTTCAGTAATTATATGTTAGTTTCTTAGATTCATGCCAGACCCTGTGCTACAATATCAGCATTCTATTTCAATAATGATGTAATTATATGTTAGTGTCACAGATTCATGCCAGACTCTGTGCTACAATATCAGCATTCTATTTCAGTAATTATATGTTAGTGTCTTAGATTCATGCCAGACTCTGTGCTACAATATCAGCATTCTATTTCAATAATTATATGTGTCTTAGATTCATGCCAAACTGTGCTACAATATCAGCATTCTATTTCAATAATTATATGTTAGTGTCTTAGATTCGTGCCAAACTGTGCTACAATATCAGCATTCTATTTCAGTAATTATATGTTAGTGTCTTAGATTCGTGCCAAACTGTGCTACAATATCAGCATTCTATAAAGTGCGACAATCAAGTGTTGAGACCGATTTTATTATGGCTAAGACAAAAATGCCATCAATGAATCACAGCATAGAATCCAAAGAGGCAACCTTCGTCTACGATAGGGCAACTTTTCATCATGGCCCAATAAGCAGACGCCATTTTGTTACATAATCAGCATGAAGCACACACAAAAAACTAACATTAAATTCTGTTTAAAACTCAGAAAAAGTGCCATTGCAACAATTGAATTAATGCTACAAGTTTATGGGGGTAATCGTTTATCTCATGCACAGATTTTCAGCTGGTATTCATTATTTAAAAGTGGTGTGGAAATGATTACTAATGCAACTAGACCTGGATGCCCAATTTCTGTTTGTAATGAGGAACTCATTGCAACATTCTGAGAACGGATACAAGAAGATCATTGCTTGACTGTGATAATGAGGGTAGATGAATTTGGTGTTAATACAGAGACTATTCGTAAAATTTTAGTGGAAGATTTGGCCAACGAAAAAGTTGCTTGCCGGTTTGTATTCAACACCTGGCAATTTGCTTCTTTTTCTTGACAATGCACCGGTTCAGAGGGCGGTAGTTGTGCAGAAATTGTTGGCCCAAAAACAAGTATGTGTTCTCAACCATCTACCCTACTCCCCAGATTTGTCTCCCTGTCATTATTTTCTATTCCCAGAATTAAAGTTACCATTGAAAGGACGCCTCTTTGACGATATTGATGACATCCAAATGGCTGTAACATCGACTTAAAGGGCCATAGGCCGTAGTATCGACTATAAGGGCCATAACTACAGAGGTCGTTCCGGTGTTTATTATATCATGCCACTTGCTGTGTCAGTGCACAAGGGGCTTACTTTGAATAAAATACAACTGTTGATTATTTAAATTTTAATGGAATTAGTCTCATTACTGAATTGACAAACCTTGTATTTCAATAATTATGTGTTAGTGTGTAACGGATTTCATGCCAGACTCTTTGCTACAATATCAGCTAAAAAAATCAGCATTTTATTTCTGTAATTATGTGTCACTGTTGACAGATTTCATGCCAGACTCTTTGCTACAATATCAGCTAAAATATCAGCTTTTTATTTCTGTAATTAAGTGTCACTGTTGGCTGTTGGGATGACAACCAAGCTGTTGAAGCTTTGTTTCTTGCTCATTCTCTGGGGGGCAGAGGTGTGGCTCAAGCATTTTAGAAGTAAATATAACTATGTGCTGAATGGCAAATAGCCTGGTGACAGACAGTACAAGTCTGGTGATGGAGGCTTGACAGACAGACAGTACAAGTCTGGTGATGGAGGTGGGACATACAGTACAAGCCTGGTGATGGAGGTGGGACAGACAGTACAAGTCTGGTGATGGAGGTAGAACAGACAATACAAGCCTGGTGATGGACGTGGGTGTCATATTACAGAATGCACACACCTACTTCAATGAGCAGGCCCACAGTCTGAACACCCCCAAAATCGTCATTGTAGCTATGATATCGGATGGTCCAACCGTAGTTATATAGTTCGTTTGTTGTGGGGGAGTCCAGATGGGAGAAATCCATATAAATCACTCTTAGATTGATTCTTTTAGGCTTTTAGTGTCAATTTACATGTTAGGACACATTTTCTACGCCTATTTAAGATTAATTGTCTGACCGCTTCACAGTATACTTGAGCCATATTCTTACA